CAAATTATTGACAGGAATCCTCTATGGCATCGAGAAACTGATTTACATCCGATTTATAGACAAACACTAAATAAAGAACATTTTGCTCAATAGCTACGCATCAGCAATGCATTCTATGCCAAACTTTGCGGTTCTTAAAGGGGAATCAAGACACGAGTCGAGCGCCAAACAACAAAAGGCAGCCATGTTCGTGTCAGACATCCTTGAGAAACTTGCTCTTTCACCTCGTTCAGCGCATCAGTCTCCACTTTAAATCAACAGATCTTTACTTATTTTGTACAACGAAGGTCTTTCCTAAGTTCCTGCTACCATTTCAATCTCAAGCAAGCTTTCAAAGTGAACAATTTGGTTCCTATGACTATTCAGCACGGTCGCTGTCACTAGTCGCGTGCTCTTTGACAAGTCAGCGGTCGCGCATGCTCATGCAAAAAAGACCCCTGTTGCCCCTGGGAACCCTCCACAAATGCCTAAAGAATGGGCATGCTTGAAAGTGACCGAGCCATGTAGTAATCAAATTTTGATTTCTTTTTTAAAGTGATTTCAAAATCATGAAGATTGCGTTGATTTTGCTGCCATTTCTTCTGGTTTCGATCATGGTCATCGAATGCCAAGGTAAGTTGTTTCACGCTGATAAATAAAATTATACTACAAGTACTAAAGGTGATATGTTTTAATCTTTTGCTTTTTGCCCTTTTTTTTGTTTTGATGAATTTCCAGGAAAAGGCACCAAAAAAGGCAAGCAAGCTACAATCCCAGAGGAAAATATCAAGGACTTTGCGGTAATCAGAGGTTACATTAGTAAAGCCAGTAATTTCAATTTCTTTCAATTGTCCGTTATTTGTTTAATTTAATATACGTGTTATGGAGCTCCCACAGAAATTAGACAACCAATCTGAGATTGCCGAGCACTACTCAACTTGACTCCTCGAAGAGGGAGCCCGGGAGAGGGAGCTGTAAAATAATAAATTCAATGATTCCTTGTTCGTAGAAAAAACCTGGAATTACAAAGTCAAGCATGGAGGACGATAATAATGGTGAAGAAGAACTACCAGACTGGCTTAAGAAACTTTTAAAACAGGTAATACAATCAGTTTCAAGATAAGACGAACCATCAATAAATCTCGTTTTTTGACGTCGCACTACTTCCGTGCAAAGTGGGCTCGAATGTAAGCTAACACAGCAGGGCTCTAACACCACGATGTCTCGCAGCGCCACTCAGTAGAGGCGCCATGAACTGTTGGCTGTTTTTGCAGACTAGCACGATTGTAGAACGCTTTTGATTTAGTCTGGGAATTTACTTCAGTGGTGCTAAAAAACTGTTGAGACAAACTGTAAGCAAGGTAGGGGCACCCATACACCATGCTAAGTACCTATCCGTGAGCACAGCTATATCATCCAAGCAGTGCATGGCAGCCATGGACAGTCGTCTCGCCCTGGCTCATCAGCATGGCATAACCATAGGACCACGAACGGTCATTTTTTCTCCTTGTCAACTGAGAGAAGGGAGACTTTCCTTCCCATTTATTTTCAATTGTTATGAACAACTGATGATGCAAGTTGGTATGGGAGACTAACTGATGAAAACCAGGATGTTATAGAGTAACGACTAGACGAGTAAAGGGCTAAATTTACAACAACTGTACTAGATGATTACTGCTGAGAGATCATTGCGGGCCCTAGACTGTGAAAAGGTGTCTAAATCTTTTTACTTGTAATAAGAGTAAACGAAGTGTTCAATATTCAAAACCCCCTTAATAAGTAGAGGAGAATATTGTTCTGGAGATTAACACTGAGTTCGATTCTCACGAATTTGTATATATATTGCAGACAGTCCATATAATATAACGTGTAACATTAATAAGATAAAACTATGAAAGGTTTGAACCCGCCCAGGAGTCATTTCACAAGTAGGTTGAGTATGATCGTCCGGTTGAACGTCAGTCACTGTCAACAACAACAGTCCTATTCAGGACCACGTTCACCTGGACGATCATACTCAACCTACTTATCAATAAGATAGTTAAAAATTCTAGCAAGAAGATCTTGAGAGGTAGGAATAAGGTTACTTACAATAATTTCTCAACTAAAAGTAAACGGAAGCGGCTTAATGAGCTTCGCACGCCAGTAGTACCACATTTAAAGGTAAGTCGTGCTACTTTTGAATCAACCGAATTTCATGTTTTCCTTTTATAGTCCAGGAGCAAATTATGGTCCGTCAGCCAAATACCCTTCGAGCAGAGCAGAAGCTACTTTCCTTTTCAATTTAAAGTCGGATTAAAAGTATTTTCTGCGGTAGTCCAGTCAGTCGTTCACTGTAGAGTGATGCGAAAAACGCGTGAAGCTGGGGAGAGGATGGGCGGTTTCCCGTCACTACCCCATTTGCGCGCGCCTTATTTTCGCTCCTTATTTTCGCTCCTTATTTTCGCTCCTTATTTTCGCTCCTTATTTTCTCCTTATTTTTCTCCTTATGTCTGCTGCTTATAGTTCACTTGCCGAACGATGTTGTTTTTCTTTGCAGGGAAAAGCTTTACAGGCAGCAGCAAGATCGAAGGAAAAGCAAAATGATTTGATTGTAGGAAACGTCTCGTCAGACTCTCAGTCGGAAAATGAGCGTATGTTTTAATTACGAATATTAACCCAAATAAAGGTGATAAAAATCGTGAAACCAAAACAGTCAAAACATTTTGTCCTTTTAGAGCGGTTTTCATTTGAGTGTCGAAAAGTAATTGGTTTTGCACTTTCTACACGATGCGATTGGCTTAAAAGATTCGCGCCACCTTTTCATCCAATCAGAAGTAAAACCAAAGCCAATTGTGACGCGCTCGCATGCATTTTCCCGCGCTTTGCGTCAGCCACATGTAATTACTTCGAGTTTTGATTGGTTCAATGTATTGTCTGTGTCCTATGTGATTGGCCAGAGTAATTACTTTGGTTTTGGTTTTACGACACTCAAACGAAAACCACTCTAAAGCAGAAAGGTTCAAAATTAAACTGTTGAAAAATAGTTCACTGATGATAGTGTTATGATACCGAGATAAAGAAAAAAATGAACTCAAAAGTAATACATGCAAACCATGGTTCCAATGGTGGCAAATTACTTTTCTTTCACTTGAACATTATGTTAATTAGCCTTCTTTGACTCGATTGCAATGCTTCTACAGAATTCAAAAAAATATTTTGTCTGAAAACGAGCGATTGAGGTCTAGTTAGATCAGTTACCATTTAGGAATCAACTGTATTGTATTAGTACTCGTGTATTAGCGCACGTGGTCGGTCTGTTCAATATATGGACAGCGAAGCTAAAAGCACTTACTGCTGACGTCAGTTACCATCTTTAAATGCTGTTTGTACTTTATTCTTAATCACCAACGCTCCCCTTTTGCTTGCCCCCATACATTTCAGTACTCCGGCCCCCTTTTTTCTGCTTTTTCCCGTCTATCTGTTTCTATTCTCAGCCACACTCAAAGGTTTTGTCAAATGAACAATTTTATAGTCCTTTAACTAAACATTATATCATAGTTTTGGATGATGCTATTTGTGTTTTGCTCTTCATCAGTTCCAACCGCCGATGTCGACACATTGATCAACTCCTTTGGTCAGTTAGGCACACAAGCAACAGGGGCTACGAAGGGTCTAACTGAGCTAAAGGAAAATTGGAATGAGCTCCCGCTGGAAAGTCAAGTGAAATTGAGGAAGGTTTTACACTCAGCTGCCTCGAACATTGAAAGTTTTACCAACACGGGAGACGATGAAATGGCTGCCATACTGGGGGCACTCGACATGTTGTCAAAGATGGCGCCAGTTGCCGGTCCCCATGGCGCATTTCTTTCCTCATTTTCGAACTTCGCGTCTGGGCTTTTTAGTCTTTTTGGGGAGGGAGCACCGATAAAGAAATCTATCGGAAAAATTGTGGAAGAAAAAATAGAGAAGGCATTGGAAAAAAGTCGCCAGAATGATCTCATTAATCGGGCTCAAGCAACCATTCAGCTGTTCTACGTTTCCAAGGCATATTTAGATAGCTTTGCTAGTGATGGCAGAGAACTTGAGGACCACGAGGTAAGGTCGATTGAGACACATGTGCCAATGGCAACTGGAGTTCCCTTCATGGAAATATTGGCAGCCGAAATAGATCGTCTTCTTGAGGCCAACAGGAAAAACGCTAACGATGCCAAACAAATCTTGAAATACATCGAGCTTTATACAACCATGGCCGTTCTAAAAGACATAACTTTACAGGAAATGGCTTTTTTGATGCCAGCGAGCCATAAAAGAATTCGAGATGGCATGATATCTGTTCAGGAAATGTTTCGTGAATACGAAAAGTCCCTCCTAAAATTCCTTCACGAAGGTAACGCCGGAAAGATGGCACTGGTTTACTATGACCCCGACTTGAACCCAGTGACAGATTCGTATTTGACAAAGGTTTTAAAGGTACCAGATTACGATCGTTCCATGGCCGGAATCCGGTGTCTGACGCCACGAGGGTCTAATTATCCAGTTGAAGCGAGAGAACATCCAGAAGATTTTGTGACAGAAAACCATCCCTACATCGCCGCAACTGGATCAGGTTGCCACTGGAAACTTGTCCCTCATGGTAATAACCTCTACACAGTTGTTAACAAAGAAGATTGCTCTACTAGTGCCCGGTATTGTGGAAAGTATTTGTCATTCGACACATACAGAGGGGGATTCCTTTGGCTGAAAGCCAAGTCCAAGCTGACACTTAAGCCCGACGCAGTTCTCTGGGAAATTGACGGCCCTTCTAATGCGAAGTAAGAGTTTTTTATATATATATATAATTCCTATTCCACAATCAAGTTTTCCTTGTTTCCTTTTTTTTTTCTCTGAAAGTCAGAACTACGAAGACATCACTTGATCATATAGTGAATACAGGTGCGTTCGAGGAGGTCGGACGCGAGTAAGTTAGCTAGTACATTTTTTCACGTTTGGTACTGTTGTGGTATCACAATAGCCACCTCGATATTGCTGCTTGTGGGTAGATACTTTTCCTCCTCTAATTCAATGAAGTTTGCTCTGGGCATTACTATACCCGCCATCTTTGTACGCTCTCTAGGATTGATGGGATAAAAGCGATGACACGTGCTATTTCAGTAGGGAAACAGTGACAATATTGACAATATTGGCCAATACGAGCAATCGTGGGGCGCTTTCCATTCAACCCAAAATTCCGGAAATTTCAGTTGGTTCATCAAATGGTACGGACCATTTCGGTTTGGTCCGACCAGAATATTCGTGACCAGCTTTGAAGATGGTCCACTGTGACCGGTCTGGTCATTTCGGTCGGTCGGACCGAAATGTCCCTTTCCATTTGCCAAAATTGTTGTCCCCAGTACCGCTCTTTTGTATCCTGCTTACAGGAACAAGTAGTTTCCAATGGAAAGTGAAGTACTGTGACAGTAAAGCCATGACATCTCAAATATTGCCTGAAACCTGTCCACGATATTTAACTAGAGCAATTTATTAGTTAAGTTGAAATGAATACAACAAAGCCTGGATGAATACAAATTTGGCCAAAACACCGAATTATTTACCGTACAGTTCCAGGAATTGCTTGGAATCGTTCGAATATTCTGAGAAACGTATCGCTTCAATTCACGATAATTTTTTACCTTCACTTGCATTCATAGGCCTTCTACACGAAATAGGATTCCTCCGCCTTTAGTTTTCCACCGCCCCTTTTCGACAGTCGAGTGTTCTTTGAAACAGTACTTACGCTTCTCTTTTAGAGTGTAATTTTGAGTCTGCTGCGAAGCCACAATAACTAACAGGCGGTGGCTTGGGTCGGGTCTGTGCAACCGGAATGTACCGTTCCATTGAGCACGTGAAGTTTCCGACATTTCAAACCGGAATTTTAGTTGAATGGAAAGCGCCCTATGGTTTCTATCAGGCTCTCTTTTCGTTTCGCCTTGCGCGCCGGAATGTTATTTACAAAGCGAAACGAAAATTGAGCCTGATCTCAGGTTAATATTGTGGGTCGTTTCTATGGAAATGAATTTAAAATAATCCCTTTTTGGATAAATCGTTTCTTTTCTCAACGAAAAATCCTAATGATCGGGATTTTTGTTCTGATCTTGGACTTTAGCAAAGAAACGCACTCATAACAAACTAACTAACAACAACAACAATACCAACGAGCTTTATTTGCATGACCATTAAAGTACATACAGTATTGCAAAAGCTATTTTAAGAATCGAAATTACAACATAGGCCAATTACGTTTAATACTTTGAAAATAATTTGTCACGAACATCAAAGCAAACTGAAATACATTTTATGAATTGTATATTGATAAGTAACTAGAGGAGTTTATCAGAACTGGGCAATATTTGGAATCACAGTCTTGACTTAAAAAGAATCCTCCTCTTTTACAGGTGGGGTGGGGGTGGGGGCGGGCGCTGGGTGATTATTTTATTATTTTTTCGACATTTTTCATAAAAAGTAAAAAAGAAAAAAATCAATCAATCACGCTTACATCGTACAAATAGCTAAATACATAGGCAAACACACACAGAAGCTATTACAGCAATACAGTCTCCTAGTATGTAGGAATACAAATTCTTCACCTTGAACTTTACACTAATGATGAATTTAATCATAATTGGCTCCTGTCATAATATCACTTATATATATCGCAAAAAAAAAACGCTGATTAATTTTTCCCACTTTTTTAAATGATTGTTTAATTTGCCTCTTTTCCTGGCAATATGGAGTTCAATTAATATTTTAAATTCGTCTTGTCCTGACAATGAAACCCTGAAGAGAAGGTATAACATTCTGGCATTTCCGAGAATAAATATAAAACTTACCCAAAAGCAAAATATGATTAAACAAGCGGAAATCATCTCCAACATCGAACTTACCAAAAATGACATCTTCTTTAATGTTTTCAACAAAGACTGTCATAATTACGCAGCCAGGACAAGACAATGTTTCCTGAAAAATCAGATGATACCTTAGAGGAAAAGAGTAAATGGCAGTAAGCACAGGTCGGCGAATCAGCCATGCCGAAACGAAAAACTTTCTCGTTTATAAAGACAATACAAATTTAATATTTTAAACTGAAATTCTCTAAGTTCAGATTCTAATGTCTTGCGGAAGGATAGCGAATAAACACTTTTCCTCTCAATATCTGTGTTCGGATACTTTGCAGCGAACTTTTCTCCTAAGCAACGGGGATCCACACTCCTCGATTAGGCCTAAGATTCTCATGTAGCAGTAGACGTTGTTTTGCTTTTTGTCCAGGAAAAGCCGGTAGATTTGTTGTGAGGAAGCATCAAGAATTGGATCCAAATTATTACTTTTTAGAATAGCTGGTGAATCCGGAAATGGATCAATAACCGGTGCAGTAGTTGCCTTTTTAATTGTCAAGGGCGGTAACTGGTAGGCATAAAGTTAATAATACCCATAATGAAGCCGGAACCTTGCGGCTTAGGATTGAGAGGATTGAGCTGGGCGATTAAGAATATTAAGAATAGTATTAAAAAAAAACCACCTCAAATTGAAAACTCTCCCATCAAGATAAAAGTCTTTTGAAAGTACAATACTTTTCGGTAGCAGCGAATTATCTGTTTACGATTTCTAGAGTCAATATGGAACTTTTGCATCGACGACCGGGCGTCATGTGATTGTCCTATTTTCACGTCGAAGTCGTGCAGTGACGACAAAGAAATGTACAAAAAGCGTATTGCATGTGCAAAGTTGTTGTTTTGTTTAACAAACCTTTTGCTTTTTGACGTTCTCGTTGCCGACGCCGTCGGCGTTGCTAAAGCTCCCTAATTTAATGAGAGATATTTAAAAGAAAAACCTGGTCGACTTTTTTATTCGCTCATTATGTTTTCTTCTATCAGGCCCGGAATGGAACAGTTATGTGTAAACAAGAGCCATAATGGCTCTTGGTGTGAATTTTTTAAAAAGCGTGACCAAGCTAAAAGCAGATCCTTAAAATAATAGTTTTCAAAGTTTTTTGTTGTAAGTGAAATGGACGAAATTCAATATATTTTTTTAATAATGGAAAAACGCCATTGACTGTCTCTATGTGAACTGCCTAACATTTCGCCTAAACAAACGCAAGCTGCATGTCTTGGATTCCCCGCCCCCACCTCTGCAGTGTCTACTTAGCACCTCCNCTCTCCCATCAAGATAAAAGTCTTTTGAAAGTACAATACTTTTCGGTAGCAGCGAATTATCTGTTTACGATTTCTAGAGTCAATATGGAACTTTTGCATCGACGACCGGGCGTCATGTGATTGTCCTATTTTCACGTCGAAGTCGTGCAGTGACGACAAAGAAATGTACAAAAAGCGTATTGCATGTGCAAAGTTGTTGTTTTGTTTAACAAACCTTTTGCTTTTTGACGTTCTCGTTGCCGACGCCGTCGGCGTTGCTAAAGCTCCCTAATTTAATGAGAGATATTTAAAAGAAAAACCTGGTCGACTTTTTTATTCGCTCATTATGTTTTCTTCTATCAGGCCCGGAATGGAACAGTTATGTGTAAACAAGAGCCATAATGGCTCTTGGTGTGAATTTTTAAAAAAGCGTGACCAAGCTAAAAGCAGATCCTTAAAATAATAGTTTTCAAAGTTTTTTGTTGTAAGTGAAATGGACGAAATTCAATATATTTTTTTAATAATGGAAAAACGCCATTGACTGTCTCTATGTGAACTGCCTAACATTTCGCCTAAACAAACGCAAGCTGCATGTCTTGGATTCCCCGCCCCCACCTCTGCAGTGTCTACTTAGCACCTCCCTGCCGGCAGTCCGTTCGTACGTACGGGCGAGCTTAGGCTGACGTGTATAACCAAATTTTCTCGCGTGGATAGGTTTCCATTTTCTATTAGCTATGGGGCTCCGTTGCGCGCGCTTCCCGCGCACAGAGGCTCCGCTAAAAAGTTACTTTTTTCTGTTGTCCAGAACATAGTTAATTAAAGTGGAATGGTTGGGAAACCCTTTGTTATAGGTTTTTGTTAGCTTTCTGGACCTGACCGAACACAACGTTCAATAGCATTCCTATCATTTTGAAGTTATTGCCCAATAGAAACATTGCATTAATTCATTCAGTCATAATTTGTGAACATAAAACAAAGGATTGTGCACCATCAGGGAGATTCCAACATAACCTACAGCACCATGGTTTTCAAACTTTGATGTTTGTCGGATTTCCTAATCAGTCTCCTCTACTAACTATGTCCAGAATAAACAAGTTTGTTTTTCGGTGGATTTCTCACTTGTTTAACCCCTGGGAAACCACGTGACATGGCTTTAACCTTATCAGTTTTTAGAGCGCATATGTGGATGGTGGGTATCGTGAATAAGGTCTGAGCCGCGAATCTTTGCAGTGAGTTCCGTATGCCCAAATACGCTATGTGCATGTCCAATTACCAAAGCACTTTTTATTGAGGTAGGTACATCTGGAAAGCTGATCGTACTGGGTAAAAATTAACTTTGCAAGACACAAACGCGACACCGATAGAACCCAAAAGAGAACGGGGTTGAATTAGCCGTAGAAAGCTGTTTCGCCATTACCGTAGCTTCGTCAGAACAGCGCAAAAACAGCCTAACAACATTAGTGAGTTTACGCAACAGGACGGCAGGAAGAAGAGGAAGGCAAAATGTTTGTGTGTGACAAACTTGACAGGGCTATAACTTGCATGTTATGTCGTGATCTTCACTCAGCATTAATAATTTCTGGTTTTTACAAAAGATCTGTTTAAAGGAAAGTGATGGTTGGCGAAAAGTTATTTCAAACAAATTTGTTGTCACGGTTGTCACACAAGGTTTGCCGTCTTCTTTCCTCTCCCGTCCTGTTGCGTAAGTTCACTATTGAAGGCTCACACCCAACGAATCGGCAAACTCGTTCCCAGGGATCTGTCCCACTCGTCCCCCGAAGCTCTTTCTCGCGCTCCCGGCGACGATCGAGTAGAAGAAGACCATCACTTGGAACAAGGTTGAACAAACCTTAGGAAAACAGGGACAAAACGATGAAAAAATGTACAGTAGATGGGATCTATTTATATATGGAAATCATTTTTAAGGTTCTTGCGAATTTCACTTTATTCTTGTTCATTTGTTGCTTGGTTTTGTTCGTGGGTCGTTCAAGGTCAAATGAAAATCGTTCTTTATATAATATTATTTTTTAACAGGATCCGGTGTAAATATGGCTGTGGCGATGATGAAGATTGGAAAAACTATGAGATTGATATGTATTCTGAACGCTACCAAGCGAAGTCTTACAACCGCGTGAATCGTAACCCAGTCCACTGGTACAGACTATTCCATCTAAAAGATATGGGTAGTACTGTTTGGTCCATCACAAAGGTAGGTGCTATGAAGCCACACACAGGCGTCCCAAACTCACCATGCATGTGAGCGGTGTTAAAACTAATTCATCACCTAATATTGTGTAATGTAGTGATTTATAAGGATGGCAAAATAATTAAATGGAAAAAAATCGCCTTATCTTAGCTTCGTATTCTGTAGCAAGGATTTGCAATAAACTTGCTTTCAGTTGCTGTATTTTGTGTTCCTGTGTTGTTTTCGCAAGCGATTGTGCCTGGTGTGACTGCTATTTATCTTAACTTTCATAATAATAGCCAAACCAACCCAAATCCCTTTAAAATGACTGAGGAACACAAAATGCATCAAAAGTAATAAAAAAACACACACGAACTGATAAACATTTTGAACTTTCGCATTTATATAAAAACTTGACGTTTCGTATCATTGTGCAAGTCAACATACATTTAGAAAGTGATGGGAAGTGACCCGTTACAGATTATGACAAAACCATGTGTACAAAATTGACAAGGGATCTAGAAATGAGATTAAGAAACTTCCTAACGGTGAATCAGTATAAGGCAAAAGCAAGACAGGATAAAGGGGACAGAGAAGGCATCCCCCATACACACCCTATTACATAGGTAATTCGTCTCGAGTTATTTTTAGAATCGGGATAAAGTTACCTCGCGCGCTGCGTGGATGTTTCGTGGAGGTTTCGCATGACTAAACGCCGTGCAAAACATGTCGGGCGAAAGGCAATGAAAGCGTAAAGAGCGTGGGTCATCCACACCGAACACATTCGCACTATGTGATTGGCTGTTGTCTAATCCCCCTTGGGATCTGAGGTCTTAAAAATAACTCGAGACGAATTACCTTTGGAATAGGGTGCATATGGGGGATGCCTTCTCTGTCCCCTTTATCCTCTCTTGGCAAAAGCTAATTAATAAAAGCATCAGCTTTTCACTGCTGATGTTGGCATTAACCGGCTAGCTTATTTAAAAGTGCGAAAATTCAAAATGTTTATCACGGCTGTTTTTGTTTTCTTTTTGATTAAGGTCCAAGAACGAAAGTTTCTATCATACAGCAAAAGCTAGCCTAGACTGCGATCAGTCTCTCTTTTTCTTCAGATTTAGTAAGAAGGGGAGTGCACGCGCGCGCGAGCGTTGAGCGGCGAAGCCGCAAGACGCGAGAAACGAGGTCGTCTCGCGCCTTTAGTCACGCGCGTGGTCATTTGCGTGTCTCGGGCGTTTTGCTCGAAGGACCAAGAAAAAAGAGAGACTGCTCGTACTCTAAAGCTGCCAGCAGGCACATAAAGGGGAGGGGGAGGGGGAAGGGGAGAAAAGCGCGCCGAAAGGGACCTCGTACCACGGGTAGTCCAACTGAGTGAGAATCAAGGTTGAATCCACACCGTCACTTTGATTAAATGCTATCTATAACATTCAAGAGCTGAAAGGTGTACATAACAAGGAATAAAGAGTAGTATAGGACTTTGTAATTCCTTTAAGTTGCTGATCTACACAAGATTCGTAGTAGCTGAGCTCATTTCACAAAGTTGATGTTATAAACATCCTTCATATTAATAGGCCTGCAGTCAGCCGCGTAATATATGGCACGTCATGCAATGGGCTTGTCAAAGTAAACTCGGTTATTATGGCTTTCAATGCTTCAAACTGACAGCGAATTTGGATAATAAGGGATAATGGAAACATTAATTTAAAACATTTCAACTATGTTTATTTGCAGAATCCACCCCAGCAGAGAGATGCGGCCCGCCATCGAAACCCCAAATATTAGAAAGGCGAGTGTCTGTTCTTGAAGCAACACTTCCAGATGAAACAAGGACTGGAGAATACATCGAATAATCAGGAACATACTGATAAATTTATGAAGAAAAAAAATTGTAGCTTGTAGTCAAGATAAAAGAGAATAAAACCACTTTGCCGTCCTCCCAGACGAGTTTTCTTTTTCTTTCAGCTTTTCAGTGAGTTTTCTATTTTCATACGCGACCTTGACCTTTAAGGAATAAACAGGGGGAAAGAGAAGTAAAGTCTCTTTTTTCCGCATGCAAGTAATAAAATACCGTAAACTTCCGATTATAAGCCCTAGCGCCCCCCCCCCCCCCCCCCCCCCCGCTTATTCTCCTCTCCCAGTTTAACACCTTCTTTACGTTTTTTTTTATTTTTTTTTTTTTCTTTTTTTATGCCCCCCGTTACTTTTAAACGTACCTTTTGTAGGACGGAGGGGGGGGTGCCTGACAGTTCGTCTTTTCCTACAGTCCTGACGCGCACCACGCCTCCGACCTCTCACTCTTC